GAAAATACAGAAAAAAAAAAAGAAAACTCTCCCATCAAACAAGTGTTTTTTTCCTATTTGTGTCACTCCCTACTCCCTGTCCCACCCCACCCCCCGGTTTAAGGGTTTCTTTAAACCACTTCATCTTTGGAAGATCAAACAGCTTTAGTTCCTTGCTATGGGTCTGGTGGTCCTCGAAGGACTGAAGTCAGTGCAACCTTCCCCTGGCTATGCCCAGTCTCAGAGGTGGGAGCTGGCAATATAGGGAGAAGAGCCTGAACTCTGGGGAGAGACATGTCCCAGTTCCCTGAATTGGGTATTTATTAGGACAGGTAATAGCCCTTCATTTCCAGCTATGAGTTAGAAAAGTCAGTGTCATCAGTGTCACCAAAAGTATCTTGGCAGTCCCAGGAAGAAAGGGGTGAGGGGGGTATTTAATTTCTGAATCTGAGATCTGCCTTTCTTTCATCTCCTACCTTTTCCTTGCATGTACTTTTTTCACAAACTCCTAATCCTATTGCCCTCCCTAGAGGCCCACCTTTGCTGGATCCCTTGTTCCCTTCCCCCCAATCTCCTTTTCTTCCCCCTTGTCCTCTGCCCTTGCTCCTGCTCCCTCCAGTCCAGCCCAGCCCAGCTCCTCCATTAAGCAGCAGCTGTTGGAAGCATTCCCAAGGGAGTCAGGATCCGTCCGTGACACTCATGGGGGTCTAGAGCTGATAGGAATTGAGGGGATGGGGTGGGCAAGGAGATGACTGAAGCACAGGTCAATCTTTGATAGGGTGTTATCACCAAGGGAACCAACAGAACCTAGAAGAATGTTCCCTACCCCTAAGCAAATGGTTTCTATAGCCATCGGGTGATCATTCTGGCAATCCTAAAGCCCAGCTAGTGTGGGGTAGAGAAGTCCATGTTTTCTTTTAGCAAAGAAAAGTCTGCAAAATTCCCATGTCCTCCAGATAGTTTTTCCTACTACTCTTGTACCTAAGACCACTTCTCTTTCAAGGTGTTCTCCTTCCATCCTCTCTCCCCTTCAGACTGTGGCTTTATCATTATCCATTTCATATTCTCATACAAATTCGCCCAGCCCTGGGATTTAGGTTTTCTGCTCTATCAGTCACATCACTCTGTGAACATGTTAATACTGAAGCAGCGTCTTACATGTGGACAGGATGGGAGGGGAGAGAAAATTCAGCTCAGTCAGTAGCCCCCATATATTCCGTGAGTCTCACTTCCTCTCCCATTCACCTCTAAAATACTCCAACTCTAACAAACTAGGGGTGGGGTGGAGTTAGTTTTCTAACTAACAGCAAATTAGGTGGAGTTAGAAATTCCACCCCAATTTCTGATACCAAAAATGCCAGTCACAAATCTAGGCAACAGGAGAGAAACTGGCCACCTGGGTCTTGCGCTCACTGCCACCTTTCTTTCCCTGCCTCTCTGGTACTCCTCCCTCCCTGTCCTTTTCTCTCTCCTGTTGAAATTCTGTGTATAAAACTATTTTCTTAGCAGCATGTATCTGAGGAAAGAAGATTTTCCACTTGTGCTTTCTGGGAATGTGACTTGTGTATAAAAGTTGGAAACCAAAAACAATTTAGAACAAAAACGGGAAAAGGAAACGTTTTAAAGAAATCATCGACAAACACCTGGCATGGAATGGTTAGAGGTGTGGTGTCCTGTATCTTAAGAATTTACAGGCCGGCGCGGTGGCTCAAGCCTGTAATCCCAGCACTTTGGGAGGCCGAGACGGGTGGATCACAACGTCAGGAGATCGAGACCATCCTGCCTAACACGGTGAAACCCCGTCTCTACTAAAAAACACAAAAAACTAGCCGGGCGAGGTGGCGGGCGCCTGTAGTCCCAGCTACTCGGGAGGCTGAGGCAGGAGAATGGCGTGAACCCAGGAGGCGGAGCTTGCAGTGAGCTGAGATCTGGCCACTGCACTCCAGCCTGGGCGGCACAGCGAGACTTCGTCTCAAAAAAAAAAAAAAAAAAAAAAAAAAAAAAAGAATTTACAGCCAGGGTAGGTTGGCTTTAGTTTGAACTATGAGTGTTTTCACCAAGAGTTGATGTAACCAGAAATCCCCCGTCCTCTTGTCACGCAACATGTTCTTTTACACCCAATACCCTGGCCTGGCAATACCGTGTGCAGTCCCAACAGTACATATGAGCTGATGCTAAGTAACTGTACTTACCTGGAACCCTGGAATTTGGGGGGCAAAAGAGCAAGCCTTTTATTCCAGGCATAATAGCACCCATCTGCTTAATTCTTTGTACTTGTTTCTTAACCACTTTCAGGGCTTATAGACCAGATCACTGATTCTCCAAATCTCCACCACCGTGATCTGTCTTAAGACAGTCATTTAGGCCGGGCGCGGTGGCTCAAGCCTGTAATCCCAGCACTTTGGGAGGCCGAGGCGGGTGGATCACGAGGTCAGGAGATCGAGACTGTCCTGGCTAACATGGTGAAACCCCGTCTCTACTAAAAATACAAAAAACTAGCCGGGCGTGGTGGCGGGCGCCTGTAGTCTCAGCTACTTGGGAGGCTGAGGCGGGAGAATGGCGTGAACCCGGGAGGCGGAGCTTGCAGTGAGCCGAGATCACGCCACTGCACTCCAGCCTGGGAGGCACAGCGAGACTTCGTCTCAAAAAAAAAAAAAAAAAAAAAAAAAAGACAGTCATTCATCCCTGGAAAGATACGTAAATCTGAAATACCGAGCTCCATGTATATAACTATACCAGTGAAACAAACATACCCTCAGAAACAGCAGCAGACCCCAGCAGAGGGGGCTGCAGAGAAACACACCAGTGCCAGCAAGGATGGGGCCCCATGGGCATATGTATAAGTACAAGGGACATACCCCAAGACCTATGACCTATACTCCCATAAGCAGAAACACCCTCCAACACATGCTAATTTTCCTCACACAAAAGTAGGTAGAAAAAACTTATAAACACAGAAAGTGAGAGGAAAAAGTAACCAGTAAGAGGAAAAGTGACCAAATGTTGAGTATTAACATATGGGGAGAGGATCTGCTAAGGAGTGTGTAACAACTCACCTGCCAAATCAACTAGCCCTGAAAATGGATGGGCACTGAGCCCATACCCAGCCGTTGCTGGCAGTCAAGAGGTGACGGGGGGATGGCAGCAGCGAGGGCACGCACATGGTTGGGGGGTCTGCTCCCCTCCTCACAGTCACAAAAAGCAAACAAAAAACCCTATGGGGAGAGGACCTTAAATTATTCTGGACATCAGGGAAGAGATATGTAAGAGGCAAATTAGGAGGAAACTTTTGGGAAAATTCATGTGATATCACCATGAAACACAGGGTAAACTTTGGTGAATGGCCAGGTATTGGGGGACCATTTCTCTCAGAAGCAACCAGTCAGAAACTTATAAGCCATGAAAGCGTCATTTCTAGAAGACTGAGTTGGGAAGAAATGCCTTTATACTGAGAAAGCTCTTGCTACAAGTCCATAGACCCAGCCTCAGGGTCTACAGGATTATAGCTCAGATACATTATAAAAAGATCAGACGAAGGCAAATTTGAGAGAGGACATTCGCAGAAGACCTAGACCATGGCCCACCAAGTTTGGGGAAAGATAGGAAGTAATCATGAAGGCAATTCCTCTTGAGAGAAACTACACGTTATGGGAAGAACATAAAATTGCAATTGTGTGACCACCCAGTGATGCTCCTTGATATACAGGACCCAGACACCCCTCACACAAAGCACAGACAAGGGGTAAATGTCATTATTCTCTGTCAGTAGTCTGAGTATGGTATTTCTTGCAATTCCACAGCCATGGAAAGAAGTCTGGCCAGAAGCTAATGGGGAAGCAGGTTGAGTATAGGTAGACCAGAGCAAGCTGAACCTGTCCAAGAAGAGGGGGAAAGGTGATGCAGCACCCGAGGTTGACTCATAATCCCACCCAACTACACACATATTCTTACACAAACAATGGCTAAGACATTGCAACCAGTAATCAGCAGGGGCTCAGTACTGTCCCATATCTACAAGTCCTCCCTGATACCAAACCCTGCACTAAGTCTTCTCAATTGGACATGAAGAATGACCCATGCGGTGCTCATTTCCAGATGTCTCCACCAAGTGCTCAAACAACAGCATCCTCTGCCATTTGCTGAGTATCAGCAGTAGGCTGAGTTGTACTCTGTGGATCCCTACTTCCATTACCCAGAACCCAGGCCTGCCTCCAGGACCCATCTTGTACCTAGCCACAAAATCTACACAATTTTGACTTGATCACAGAGAATAATCTCTTGGCAATGTTCCTAAGCTAGTGATTCTCAATGATGAGGTTTCAGAAACCCACGGGCAGCCAGTCATCAGAATCTGGGGGGTGAAGGAAGAGTGAATTTTGAAAGTGTTCCCTAAAGGATTCTTCTGTGGTAACTACTGCCAATGAGGATCATTGTTCTAACAAGTTACATTTGCTGGATTCAACCTCACAATCTCTCCTTTTCCTCCTACTGCTCCCACTCAAAATGCATACACACACCCCACAACACACATATCCCCAAACATGTCAGCATAAAGACATGAGTAAGTTTGGGGAAGACAGATGCAAAAGGCAAGGGAAACCCTGATTGGATCAACCACCCTAAAGGTGACTGCCATCTCTCAGAACAGTGTTTCTCAATGTTTCAAGTGTCCACTTGCAACATGAGTGCTTATGTAAAGTGCATATTCCCGGACCACACCTAAGACTAACTGAATCAGAAACTCCTGAAGAGATTCTATGCCCTCTGAAGTTTGAGAACCACTGACCTAGAAAGCTTAGCACCATATCTGTGACCTGCCCCCATCTTTTCAGCACCCAGGGACCAACCCTGCTACCCTAGGGGCTACCACACCAGGACTTATCATAACCTCAGATTTGTCGACTTCATCACTCTGACATCACCCCCACCCCCACCGCCAACATACTGGAAATTGGCCATGGTCTTCTGCTTACGTTGGCTGTTCTTGAACAGGAGAAAAGATATAAACATTGTCCACTCACCACTTTGGCTGAGTGTCTCCCTGCTTTCTTCTCTGCTGTGGAAAACACCTTGCTTCTTCTGAAGTGGCCATACACTTCCAGAGATGCTGAAATCAGAACTTCCCCAGCCCTGAGCAGCTCAGCCCAGCATGGACTTTACTCCTACCTCTGGGCAGGTCCTATCTCCCAGAGCCACCCAGCCTCCCTTCCACATCACCCACAGTCAAATCTTCCAGATCTGAAGATCTGCCCAGTCATTAGGAAAGCCAAAGCTACTTGAAATTCTTCCAGATTGGGGGCCCAAGGTCTAGTTATGTGAGGGCTAGTCTGTATCACCACAGTTGCTGGGGATTCTCCTTCTAGGGGCCTCCCCCTCTACCAGGGATCATTGCTGATCCCATCACCCTTCTTGGGGTGGATTTCAAAGATATGGAAATCTATCCAATTCTAACTGGGTGCCTTCCATAGTCTTTCTGGAAGGACAAGTCCCTCTGTCTTCCTAACACCTGTCTACCTCTCTAGGCCTAGAGCACCTTTCCATCTTCCTAGGACTATTATTGAATATGGACCTTTTAACAAGGGAGAAAGAACCAGTTCATCTCAACCACAGCTCAGCAAATCACAAGGTACAAGGCAGAATGAAATATGCATAGGTACAAACCACCCTATCACCCAAGAGCAAAGTCTGAGGGTCATTCCTTCCTACTTGCCTTCCAATCTCTTCTTGTGCCATCCTGGTAACAACACAGCTGGTGTCCCTCTCTCCACCTCCTTTAGCCCTCCTAGGGTTTTATTTTTCTGTTCTTGTTGTCCAAGGATATGTATGGTCTACTGGCCTGGAGCCTTGGGTGTGTCTACAGCCTGTGCTATAGCCTGTCCCTCTGTGCTCGTTTCCTTTCGCCTGGTGCTCAAACACTCAGTATGGTACCATCTAAATCCCTTTCTTGGGGGCAGTAACGGTAGGAGGGAGGTGGATATCTAGTTGGGAGGAAGGCAGAGCTGAGATTGACGAGGGAGTGCTGACTCAGCCCAGTTGTTAAGGGCATCCTCTCATGCCAGTTCCCTACACAGAGCTCCACCCAATGCCTGGCACCGCTATGTGCACAGCCCCCTCTCCCTGACTGCCACCAAGTGCCATCATGAGCATGTTTGGTGGCTTTGGGTTTGCCGCAGTGCCAGGATCTGAGACACTGTTCACGTGCCAGTGCAGCACTGCCAAACGTGGCGGCATCCAGTTGGTTGGGTGCCAAGCAGTAGGACCCAGGTGGTGATGAAAGATGAAATGGGGATGAGGCGAAGGGAGGGGGAGGAGAGGAAGGTACCGAAGAGGAAAATCAGACACCTCACTTGTTCAAGTGGAGAGTCCAAATGGGATCTGCAGAAAGGTACCCTTCCCATTCTAGAGCCCAGCTCAGCAAGTCAGCCCTTCCCTCCTTCCACCCTAGCAAAAGTCGCATATACAGACCAGGCAAGGGGATTTGGCCATCTTCAGCACGGAACTGGCTGGGGGCCAGGCAGGACTGCCAGCGCTTTCCATCCTTCTTCCTTGAGGTCTTGGCAATGGTGTGCTTCCTCCTTTGTGTCCTCATGCCACTCTCCGTCTGTTGCTCCACTCCCCATGCCTAAGAGGGAAGGGGAAGGAGGACCTGGCAGGAAAAAAGTCTGGTCTCCCAAACACCCCACCTCCCGAAATGTTTCACCTCCTTCCTTCTCACTCCTGGCACCATTGCCCTCTCAACCAGATTGGCAAGAGGCACTGTCGCCCTCCCCTGTTCCACACAATGCCAGAGCCTGTGCCAGGTGCCATGGGCAGTGCCAGTACCCACCCACCTCACATCTGGTCCCCTTGCTGTCTCCTTCAATACTCTGACAAAGAGCCAGATTGCCAGCCCCAACAAGTTCTCCCTGGGTACGGTGGCACACTCCCTCCTCCCTGGCTCGTAGACTGTTTCTTGGCACTCCCCTGGCTACTCTCTCCACCACTTTACTTTCTCAAGCTGGAAAAGCACTAATCACCTCATACTCCAACCATTTTTCAGAGCTGAGCTTCTAGAGGGACAGCAACGTCAGAAACACATTCCTGCCCCTTCTCCCTGCTTCCTGGATCCCCTAGTCTCCATTGCCCCAGTTCTGGGCACTGGCCTGACAGATGTGATGCCAACAACTCCCATGTACAAAGCCTTCCTCCCAGAGCACAGGACTCCTGCTGCTGCGCCCTCCACTCGCCTCCTCCCATCTCCGTGGGCACAAGGGTGGCAGCTGCAATGCCAATGCCTGTAAGCAGGCAGCATGAAGCAACTCGTGCCCCCGCTTCTCCCCTCCCAGACCCCAAGCCTCTCCCCTCCTTCTTCCACTCCATCCCTCTGTCCTTCTGGTTGGACACTAGATTGGCAACCGCAATGCCAACCCCCACCCATGCCCAGGAGGCTCACATACAGCACACGCTTATGCGTACACGTACAAGTGCGCACATACACATACACACACACACGGCCCCATGAGTGCCAGGCAGCGGTGGCAGACACACAGCAATGCACAGTGACTGGTACCCGAGGAGGCAGCCAGATTCAGCACCTGATCCAGCACCCATTTGGGATTGGGTGGGTAGGCGGGCGGGCGGAGGGGTGATGGAGGCAGACGATGGCCCTAGGTTGGCAGCCGATGGAGCTGGGAGAATGGAGGGAACAGATGCTCTTTGCCCAGCCTCCCTCCCTCTCTCTCCCCGAGATCAGTGCCAAGCTGGGGGGATGGGGAGAGGGGAGGATGGGGGAAGGGTGGCATTTGGAGAGCTGGCAGGCGGAGGGAGCTGGGTCCGCCCAGGCTGGGCAGTGCCGGCACTGGCTGCCGCCTCTCCACTCTGCCATCTGTCTCGCTTCTCTCCCCACCCACTTTCCCTCTTTCTCTCTCTCTCCTTCACCCACAGCAAAACGAAAAGAGGAAAACAGGGTCCTCATTCCACCCACCCCCAACCTCTCCCAGACCCCCCTCTTTTCCTCCCCACAACTCACCACACCATACCACCACCAAGCCATCTGTGCTCTCCTCCTGGCTCAGTCACCTTCTTTCACTCGCCTTCGCCCTCACACCAGAACGGGTGCAATTTTAAAAATATATATATATATATTCATATATACATATATACATACATGCATATATGCATATACACACACACACACATATATATTTTAGAGCAACTTAAAATAAAAACTCTTTTCTTTGGGAATGTCCTATCCTTCTGAGTCTGGGTCCTCGGTACCAATATTTATGGCAGGCAGAGGGAGGGGACCCCGTCCTCAGCTGGTGCCCATGAATCCCATGCCAGGGAGGAGGGGTGGCTGGGGTGGGGTGGGGGTGGGGTGAGGTGGGTATCGGGAGAGCTCTCTTCTCTCTGCGCCTGTGGTTGTTTCTTTTTTTTCTCTTCTTCTACTTCCGGAGCAGATTCAAATAGATCTAGAGCCTTCCCCACCCCCAGCCCCACAGCCCCACAGCCCCAGTTCCCAGGGCCCCTGTGCCCTTCCCTGCTTGCTTTTGATTCCTCGATCACCCTTTCCTTTTTTTGTGTGTGTGTGTATACGTGTGCGTGCGCGCAAGTGTGTTTGCATCCATGGCGGTGGGCACTGTGCCAGCCACCGCACAGCCATCTGCGATGCCTTCTGCAGCCTCTGCCATTTCTCCCTGTCACCTCCAGCTCCCAACCCCCTGCACCCCAGCTCCCCAGCCCCCAGTCCCCAATCATTAATTAGCTACTGAATTAATTAAATCGTGGATGCTAATTAACATTCCTACAGGGCAGGCTGCCAGGCTGGGGGTGCAGAGGGGATGTGAAGAGAAGTAGAGATTGGGATGGGGGAGGAGGAAGGAGAGCCAGTCTTCTTAGAAGAACAGTGGAGAGGGAAAGAGAACCCAAAAGAAGGATGAAGGAGGAAGAGAGTTGAGTGGTGATGGACAGGTTGGGGCAGGGGGAGGAAGAGAATAAGCATGGAAAATAAGGTGTAAAACTGAGATCCAAGTGAGCGCCACTGAACCTTCTTACCCAAATTAAGACTTAGCCAGTTCCTTGTCTTCAAGTTCATTTCCCCACCCCAGCCTAGAAGTATATTCCTCAGGCGGCTGACTCCAACAGTTGCTTCTCCTATAGAAAACCAACTCCAAACCAGGGAGTCAACAGCTACTATTTGTCAATCCAGCCACACTGACCCTCAGACCAGGTCACCAAGGGAACGTTCTGGGCTCAGAGGCACCCCTGTTGACTTGCCCTTGTCTACCTCTCTGTCAAGGGGAAGGGGTATTCTAGGAACATCTGCTGCAGGGAGACATGGGAGATCAATATAGGGAAATGTGAGGGTATCAATTCAATGGGAATTATTAACAGCAGAGAATCGCTGGCACTGCCTGTAAGACTGCCTTAAGAAGACCACGACATAACACTGCCTGCCTTTGGAGTTCCAGAGTAGGAAAAGTGTGTAGTCTTACCCAACTCAAAAGTCAGGAATTTAGGAATAAGTGAGTAAGGGCTATCTAACTTTGAGTTGTTATTTTTTTAAAAAGAGACAGATGCCAGTATAGTGAAACTTCTTCCTGGGTGTGCTCTGTGCAACATTGATCTGATGAAATGCTCCTCAAGAAAAAAACGACCCCCCAATCAAATTAGTTTGAGAAATACTGCATATTCCCTCTTTTAAGAGATTCACAATGTATGCTGGTAAGTTAAAGGCTCTGAGGAGTTGGTTAAAAAACCCAAATGGTTGACCATATTTAATCCACTAATTCTCAAACTTACTTGGCCATAGAGACCTTAATATTTAAGTTTTATTTTTATTTATTTATTTATTTATTTATTTTGAGATAGGCTCTTGCTCTGTCACTCAGGCTGGAGTGCAGTGGCATGATCACAGCTCACTGCAGCCTCCAACTCTTGGGGTCAAGCAATCTGCCCACCTCAGCCCCCCAAGTAGCTGAGACTACAGTTATGTACCACCATGTCCAGCTAACTTTAAATTTTAAATTTTAAATTTTATTCCCACAGAAGCAGTGTTCTGCTCTGGGGAAAGCCCTATCAAGTAACTAGGGCTGGTTCTGACCTGGAAGCTGGCAGATGGATAAGCCAGCCCCACCCAGGTCAGCAAGATCCTAACAGTCCATGAACAAAGGGACAGCAGTGAGGCTGTCTTTCTAATGTAGGAGTAACACAGGAAAGTACCAAACCAGGTCATGGGGTACGGAAATCATATCACAGACCTATACCCTTTGCCTTCACTCCATCTTTGGAACCCTGCTGCATCTACCTTCTCCTGGAAAGTCTATTTTGTATCCCTGTAGGGGTACGGGGTGGGAGAAGGAGTTTGTGTTTTTCAAAATCTCCCCTAAGTGTTCCTGATATCTTGAACTCAGAACTTCAGTGCTAAGCCATCTCTGCTCTCTCTTCTAAAACATCCTTCATTATAGACCACTGGTATCAACCCAAAGCTTCTATTCCCATTACCTCCTCAATCCCATTCTGGTCCAGAAACTACAAATGTCTCCTGGGACATCTCCTGCTGCATCCCTAGCAACCTTTCCTTTTCCTGTCCTCACTTAGGCATCTGGAGTCCCTGAGGTCACTTAACCTCTCTATCAGAGTCCTCAAGAGAGGATAGGCTGTCTGAAACCTGCAGGGACACATGACTCACCTTAATTTTAAATTTTATTCCCACAGAAGCAGGTTCCACTTTGGGGAAAGCTTGTCAAGTGACCAGGGGTGGTTCTCTAGCTCCTTGAGCTTCAGAACATCTACCCTCATGATGACTGGCCTCCCCCTGCCATAATGAGCCCACCTTCCCTTGCATGGCCCTTTGTGGAGCTGAAGAACAATGGTAATATGTGGAGACCAACTCATTTTAATAAGAATATTATCTTTTTTTTTCACTTTCTGGGTCCTATTGTTGGTCCCATCCTACTTCATACCCACGCTCCCAGTGTACAACCCCCCAACAACTTAACATGAGTGATGACTCTTCACAAGAAAACTCACCATACCATTTCAAATACAGAACAGCTTTAAAATACAATTTTGATTTGCCAAAGAGATCTACATTCATATTTCTAGGTGATAAGGTCCCTCCAAACTCTGAAAGTCTATGAGTGTGCCATCTGACCCCATCTCCTCCTTCCCTCTCTAAAGCCTCCTGTAGAAGTCCCAGGCTCCTGACAGCCCTATGGCACAGGGCTGACAGAGCCATTTTAGAGTGTGACTCACTGTCCCACCTGCTGACTACTCCTCTAGCTGAGGAACCATAGGATAAAGGGGGACAAAGTGAAGTCACTCACCTAACCAGAGTATAGAGGCAAAACCTCAATGTTCTCAGAGGACACATTTTTTTTAAAGAAAGCATTTCAGGGCTGCTTTTATCATTGGGTGACATCTTTGCTAAATTATCCTCTCAGTGGTCAGTGAG